CGCGGGCCGTGCGGGGTCCCTCGAGGCCCTGGGCAGCCCGCCGGCCCCCCGGGGCACCGCCACCGCCCGGCAACCTGCCCTGGCTGGTTTATCCCCAGTTGCTCTCCTACCACCACCCTCCCCTGCCTTCCCCGGGCTCCCCCCACGGCAGCCTCGATGTCTCGCTAATGCGCTGACAGTGGCATTGGTGCCGCCTTGCCCCGGCTGGACACCCCTCACCCGATTTGCAAGGACCACCAAGTGCCCCCCTGATCCATGAGCCCTCCCAGATCCCTCCCCAGCTGACGGGATCCCAAATGTCCTCCAGAGTGGGATCTGGTCCTGTTCATCCTCACCCCGTTTCCATTGCTCCGGTCCTGGAGACACTCTGGCGGGGCCCGTGGGCCTCCCTGCAACTCTCCACGGGCCCTCAGCCACACGGCCGTGCCCGTGACCCCGGGAGCAGGGTGGTGGGAAGGGGCTGCCCAGCCGGCGGAGCTGGCTTTTCTCCGCCCGGCTGCCCCTGGAGCTGACCGAGACGCCGCCCCGCTGCGGGGTCCTCGCCAGAGAAACCCTTTTTTCTGTCTCGTGAGCCGTGCACGTGGTTGCAGGCCCGGGGTTGCCAGAACGTGTCCGGCTGGGCTGAGACGAGAGGGCAGTTTGCTTTCCTTGCCCGGGACCAAAGCGGCCCCAAATCACCGCTTCGCAGCTTAGGACTTGGCAGCGAAGCCACAAAGGCAACAGGAATGTTTTAATGAGGCTCGGTGCTGTCTCCCATCCCGGGGGGGGACTTCTGAGGCTGCCAAACCTGTGCAAAAGCAACAGGCCGGCAAGAAGCGGTCCCAGAGCGCGTGTTGTGCCACATTTTCCCCTGTGCCAGGTGCAGCCCGTTGCCACCGAGCTTAGCAATGCCCAGGATTTGCCTTCACCAGCGCTGCCGCGGCTGGGAACGGTGGGCCGAGGAGGCCCCGTGGCACCCCGGCGCAGGGCAGGACAGCTGGCCCTCTCTCCAAGCGCGTGCTCGGGGGTCCTGCCTGGCACGGCTGTGCCGGCGTGGCTGATGTGTGCATCCATGCAGCGGGTCACGCGGGGGGAAGGTCAGTGAGCAGCAGGCGTCCCTGTAACAGTCGGCGCGTGCCCCTCCCCGGAGGCTGTGCTTGACGCCGGGCGCCGGCGCGCATGGAGCAGGCTGCGTCCGCGCGGGTGACTTCGGCCTGGCAGCAAGCAGCCCTCGAGGACGTGACCTTGCAGGGCGGCGCATCAAGCCTGCACAATCACGGCAGCCTGTTTGCTCCAGGACAGTTAATAAATAATGAGGATGTCAAAGACAGCAGCAGGCGTGTGGGACACGGGAAGAGCGCTGCAGCTGGCTCCCTGACAGCCACCTGGCAGCAGCCGCTCGACGGCCTCCACGGCCCCTGCGCCCGGCTGCCGCAAGCGCCGGCGGGCGGCACCGGGTTCTGGCAGGCGACGGCGGCTCTCGAGGAGTCGTGGGCACGCGGCCGGGTGAAAACTTGGCAGAGAAGCGGAGCGAGTTACTGGCGAAGCCGCTTTTCGGAAGCCCGCGGCCCGGGGGAAACTTCTGTTCCTCCTCCTGTGCGGTGGCTTGTCGGTGGCCGGCTCTGCAAAGCCGCGCCTGTTCGCTGCAGGGACGCTGGGTGGAGGGCAGGGCGACCGGGCAAGGCTGCCCCTGCATGAGCCGCTCGTGCCCACGGAGGCTGCCAGCGGCAAGGATCTCTGGCCCCCTCCCGCAGGCCCCTCCAGCCCCCTCCCTCGCACGGGCAGCTCTCCCCGTCCCGCTGCCCCTTGGTCGGGGGTGCTCCCCAGGCCAGGCAGCCCCTCTGCCCCAGCTACCTCCTGCCCCCACTGCTGGCTTGGCCTGTAAGGGCCGCAGGGGCCTGGGTGCAGAAGCCAGGGGAGATCGGTGCCCCAGCAATGCCCAATAACGCCAGTTACTGGCTCTCATTCCACCCTGCAGGTCCCTGGACCACGTTGGACCACGTCCGGCCCAGATCCCCCGCGTGCGTCGGCCCGCGCCGGGGAGCGGGATCCGTGCAGAGCCGCCTCTCCTGCAGGCGCTCGCGGGGCCAGTCAAAGGAAACCAACATCGCGGTGCAGCTCTGGCAGGTTCACAAGCTTTTAATGATAACAGCAGGCGAGAGCGACACACCGGCAGCGACAGCTTTTCTGATTGTCTAAAAATACAGCACTTGCTCCGTAAAGGTCACCTGGAAAAGAACACACTTTGCCTCGGTCTGAACATCGATATGCTGGTGCCACGCGAGCCTGGCGGCTGCACAGAGCCTTCCAGTTACCTCGTTAGGATTAAAGTCTTAGTCAAACAAATGTTTCTTCCACGGGGCCGGATTACATGGTGGTGGAGTCGCGGAACTCAAATACGAAACAATCTGACTAAATTTGAGATTTAATTGATCTTTTGATGACTTTGTAAATGTCTGGCAAGAGGGGAGATGCTTCTCAAACAGGAAAATCTACACCCAAATGATCTCAATTTGAATAATAAGTATTCAGTCCTTGTTTGGTAAATATACCCAGTGTTAATGGTGCTTAATGGTGCCTGTAATTGGTGTCTAAAGTTATTTAAAAGTAAATTTACTAGAAAATAATTAGCAATTTTATAGTTCACTACTTCCTAATTTTGTTGATAAAAGTTTTTCAGCGGTCCTATCAGATGACACAACAATGCAGTGCGGCGGGTAGGCTGCTTCCGCGCTGCCGGGAGATGGAGCACACAACACCGAATAAAAACATTTTCCCCCTAAGTTCTTCCCCTGGAAGCCAGCCCTCCCTTGCCTTTTATTATGCAGTAAATTAGCCTTAATCAACGCCGAGTGAAAGTTTCCAGGCGCAGTTCAGGGATTTGTTTGTCGGTGACCTTGGGAGTGCTGAACCTGAGCCGCGGGAGTAGAGAGGGACCTGGTTTCCTCATTAGCGGAGCATCTTTCCGTAATGAGCTTGTGGCGACACTCCGGCCAACCTGCGCGCAGCTGTCCTCCCAGCGCCTCTGATGAGCGCCCGGGCTCGCCGAGGGCAGGGGAGGGATGTCAGCAACGCGCTCCCGGCCGTGCACCGCTCTGCACCACGTGCAGCTCGGACAGCTGGAGCCGGGGTGCCAGGCCGGGGCGGGCAGGGCGGTCACCTGGGCTCGACTCCCATCCCTGACGGGCAGGGAGCCCTGTGCCCCCTGCGCTCCCAGTGGGCAGGGGGGTCATGCAAAAGTCCCTTGAGCCAGGATGGTCTGGGGGTCACAGCCCGGGCCTCGACCTCCTTGGATGGGGTGGGGGTGCACCCCAGGGTGCCAGTGAAATCCCCAGCCCCGGTGCTGCTCCCGGCACTGCCCGGAGGTGGCCGCAGCTGCCACGTTGGAGGCTGATGGAGACCTTGGGGTGCCAGGGCCTGTGACCGCTCCGTGCAGGCCTGATTCCCTATCTGTAGGGCCGTGGGGCATCTGCAGCAGCTCACGGTGCATTTGGTCCCTGTGCCCTCCTCTCTGTGCAAGATCAGTTCCTGCTCCGGAGCCGGGGGACGGTGCCCTGTCCCTGCGCACAGGACAGGAGCCGCGGGGCGGGTGGTGGGCAAGGCCTAGAGGCCTGCGCCCCGTACCAGGCCCCTGCCTGCCGGCGACACGGCTGTCCCCGCTCTGTAGAGCAGGTCGGCGAGCTGAGGAGAGCTACTCAGCACCCACCCCGGTCGGGGTAGCGTCGTTACCTCCCAGCAATGAGCCGTGCACCTTCTCAGAGCAGGGGAGCGTGTGCGAGTCATGCACTTGAGGCTGCACGTGCTGCCCATGCCTGTTTCCTGACGTGCCCCATCTCCTTGCACCCGCCACCCACGGATGCTCTTGCTGCAGCAGAGCCGGTTCCCTGCCTGCCCGTGGGGCCCGAGGTCTGCTCTGTGCTGCAGGCATCTCCCCCGGGGACAGACCGGGTCCAGGCGCCCGTCCCGTGCAGGGCCCATGCGACGCTGGGGCAGTGCCGCGACTGCCTCTGGTCTCTGCCCCTTCCCCCCCAGACTGCAGAGAAACAGAGCAGAGAGCGGCAGCTGCTACAACGGTTTATTATTCAGTGCCGTGGGTTCAAGTTCAGACGGAGATGTTCTGCCATCAGGTGCAGGGCGACACACACACAGACGTGTTGGAGGAGGGTGCAGCTCGGCGGTTTGGTTTCAGGAGGATGAATTCTCCATTTCCAGTCTCTGAACCATAAAGTACCAGATTTTCCAGCACAATGAATCATCCAGTCTGTGTGTATAAAATTAAATATAATTTATGCTTTGCTAATTGAAATCAAATACAAAAATTCAATTTCCTGTGTGTTGTAACGCTGACATTTAAATAGTAAAAAAAAAAGAAAAGGAAAGTTATTAACCCAACTCTCTCGCAGCAGGTTGCTCGCGCTCTCACCAGATAGAAAATAATTCCTCTGTCAAATTAGCACATTACAAATGCAGACACATGTAGCTGGGCGCACGGGCACGGTGGAGCACACAGCAAAGGGACTGCTGGAAACCGAGCTGAGGCGGGGGGCAGCCGCGGGCCTGGGGGCTGTGGCAGGGCCAGGAGTCTCTCGTGGCTCCGTGTCCGGAGCTGCAGGCACGGAGTCTCTTCTTCTCCCGTTGCTCAGCGTCTCCTCCCGGGATCCGGGACGATGCCCACATCAAAAAGAAACCTCTAGGGATGGGACGAGCAGGGCGGCGTGGCCCGGTGGGGTCCCACAGTCACACGTGGGACCTGCCCCGGAGCACGTGGGGGTGCTCAGCCCGTCGGCGCTGCGAGCTGCGAGCTGTCCTCAGAGCACGGGGAAGGGACCCGGCTCAGCGCCCGAGTCCCATGGCACCGCTCGGCTGCTGCTGTGGGGCACCAGGGTGGGCCACGGTGCTTCATCGGGGGGCAAGTGGGGAGCTGCTTCCCCTGCCCAGCCCCAGGCCCTGCGGCAGGTGGATCACGACGCGCTGGCGGGGATCTCTCGACGCTCTTTGGTCTCTGGGGAAAGGCCCTGTGAAAAGAGCACGGGCGAGTTGACGGTGGGTAATTCAATGCCACTAGCTGCGCCACCCCGGGTGCAGTCAGGGGTGCCAGGAGGGGCCACGAACACGGCGGGGGTGAGATGGGCGCCCTTACGGGGGCTTCGACATTGACGGACGGCTCCTCCTGCAAGGCGGCCGGCCAGGACGGGGAGCATCACCGCTGCCCGAGCTCAGGCCCCACCACACGGCCTCGTCGCAGCTGCCTCCAGACTTCACGCCCGGTCACGGCCCCTGGCTGGAAGCCTCGACCCGGGAGGTGCAGACAGCCCCGGTGTCGCCAGCCCCAAGTCCTCCCTGGGGCTGGAGGATAACGCAGATCCCAGGGAGGGGCTCAGCCCTTGGCAGGATTGAACCAAGAAGGAGAAAGAGGCTTCACCGGCAAATGAAACAAAGTCTTGGGCGTCCCTTGGGGGCCGCGGGAGAAGCGCCTCCGAACCCGTGAATCATCCTGCATTGCCCTGCAGCACAACACGGCTCCCGCTTAGCAGCAGCAACGACACTTTTATATTGCACGAAACCATTTCAAGTTGCCCCTGCAATGTATTTCCAATCTTCTTGGAGTCAGTTCTGGATCTGCAGGTCTGTGAAGACGCGCCTGATGTCAGAATCTGCTTTTAAATCTAATCAGGCTAATGCAAACTGGCATTCGCTGCCGCGGGACTAATGTGACGCTCCTCGAACCCGGCCCGCGGTCTCCATTTGACAAATGAATTTAGCTCGTTCCTTATACAACCCCGAGCACGAGCAGCGCCTTATGGTGTAATGAACCACATGACAGGCCATGAAACCCGAAGCAGGTTCAGCTCGTTGCCTGGCTTAACAGCGATTTCCCCCAGTTACTTGGATCCACGCGGATTTCGTGCTGCCTGACGCAGCGCGGGGCCGGCCTGGCGACGGGTGCGCACGCCGTCACCTTTTGTGCGTGCTGCTTTCAAACGGCAGCAAACGCAGACTCTCAGAGGAGCGCTGCGGCTTCAACCAACAAAGTGCACGGCCCCCCCGGGATGCCCTGCTGCCACTCCGTGGGAGATGAAATAAAAGGGAAATAAAAAGGACCCCCAGACACCAAGGTTGTTTGCCGTTGAAATCACCCAGAGGAGGGGAGGGCTCCCTCCAGCTAACACCGCGTTTGCCTTTTGTTCCTGCCACCACGGGCTCTGGCTCGGCAGCCGGCGTGGGAAACAGGCAGCTGTGCTGCACGGCTGTCTCGCTGTGCGCGGAGAGGGGCGCGCGGCCCGCATGGGCACGGCCGTGGTGCCAGCTGTGCTCGGGGCTTGTTCGACATCCTCCGCCTGGGTTTGCGCCTCTGCCTGAGCGTGCCGCTTGATCGCTCCCCCCTGCACGCGCAGATCTGTGCAGGGCCGCGAGCTCGCTGCGCTCCCGCTGGAAATGAATTCCCTTTCTGCTGCAGGTTTTGAAGCCGAGATGAAGAGCGTTTCACCGTGCCGCAGGGTCCCGCTTTTCAAAGGTGCCAGGCGCAGGCAGGCCACAGAGACTCCCGCGGCATTCGCAGCTGCTCGGCATCTTTGAAAGCCGGAGCGGCACGGGGGCTTTGCACAGCGCGCCAGCTGTTGTGACAAGGTCTTATCTGGCAGGGGGTCCTTCTGGACCGAGAGCTCATTTCCACGGTTGCACCAGCAACAGCAGCCTCGACTTTCATCTGCAAATCCTGCTCTGGAGTCAGGCCGCCGGCCCACCTGCCGGGGGGCCGCAGGCTCCCGAGCACGGTGCTAGCGCCCTCCCCACCCCTGGCACAGAGCAGGTGCTGGAGCCCAGGATGGGCCCCCAGGAAACCACCCCAATGTCAGGCCCCTTAAGTGCCAGGGCCAGCTCATCTAAGGGGCATTGCCAGGCGCCCGGGGAGGCCCCAATCCTGAGCTCCCTGCACACCGGAGTGACGGGAAGCCACAGGACCAGCAGTGTTACCGCCAGCAGCGAGAGCAGAATCGAGCCCAGGGTGCCTGGCACTTGGTAAATAGTATACTAATTAGTGCAATGTGCAATGGAGGTGGAGCCTCTCCTTGCCATCCCTTGGCTTCCCCACCCCGCCCAAGCGTGCGCGTGTGACCGGGTGCGTGCCGCGAAATACCAGGGCTCTTGCAGCTAGCGAGGGAAAACCGGAGCAGAGCGGAGGGGATGAGACCTACTGCCTCGCCTGGTCCCTGTCGGGCTTCGCTGGCGCGGGCAGGGCTCAGAACCTCCCCCCCAGCAGCGCCGCCCGGCCCCCCACTAACGGCAGCACAAGGGGACGGGGCAGCCCGGGCGGAAAGGTGGGGCCCGACCCCGCCACGCGCGAGTCCGAGAGCAGAGGGGCTCTCGCGCCCTCCCGCCTTCACTTGTCACTTCCTTCCTGCTCCCACTGGAAATCCTGCCCCGTCATTTGGTAGAACATGACGTTGAACGGTTTGTAAAACTTCCGCAGTCTGTGGATGACGTCGGGGTCTATTTTGGGGTGAGTTCGACCCTTGGACTTGCCCAGGCACCGGGGCGGGCTGCCGTCCTCCGGCTTCTTCAAGCAAGGGAACCCCTTGGTTTTATTGAAATAAAAGTGTTTCTCCGTCACCAGCCTTTTGAGGCCCAGGAAGTCCTGGACCTTGGCCATCTCGCCGGCAGGGTCGATGATGAGCCGCTCGCCGCTCACGAAGAGGATCTGGGACAGGGGGAAGTACTGGAGCCAGTTCTCCAGGTGCAGCGCGTAGATCCCGATGCGGATGGCGCTCCAGGAGGCGTCGATCAGCCCCAGGGTCCGGTTCTTGAAGGCCAGCACCTCGAAGGTGGGGATGTCGGGCTTCTTGGAGAGGGTCTGCGTGTAGTCCGAGATGGCCCTGGTCACCGGGTTGCGCACCACCACGATCAGCTTGGTGTCCTTGGCCATGGAGTGGATGCGTTTCGGGGCCTCGTTGGTCACGAAGTAGCTGGGGGTTTTCTCCATCGTTATCTGCCCCTCCAGCGTCTTGGGCATCACGTTGCTGCAGAGAGAGGAAGCGGGAGAGAGGGGAAGAGAGGTTAGTTCTGCAGCCGGATCCCGGTCGCGTCCCCAGCCCGCCCTGCCGGTCCAGTCCGGTCCGCGCAACGCCGGCGCCAGCAAAGCGCACCGCGAGCGCGGCAGTGGGCAACCAGGCGGCCTCCACGGTCCCCGCCACTCTCTGCCTCATTTGTCTGCAGACGTGGCAAGCGCGCCCCGCGTGTTCAAACTGGTCTCAGTAACGTATTATACAGTCAATTTGCCATAGGCATATGTAGACAAAAGTTAATTGACAATAAACCTGTACAATACCTGTCTGTACAGCAAGCCATCTGCTACCATTTGCTCAATTAAGTCTATTCACTTCAGAGCCATGTACCGAAGTGGTGCATTTAGAATTACACAAGACCTTTTTGTTATGATGACATGCTTTTAAATGTCTCAGCTAATAAAACTTAATACAGAATAAGATCCCTGGCTTCTAGTACAATAATTAAATTTATTTACTATCTTGTGTGTGAGAAAGAATGACTTTTCTTTTATCTCTAATTCACATGCTCTGTCAATAATTAATTGCTGCTGGGTTTTGAGCTTCCTGTGCAAGCACTTTTATTAGCCAAAAGGAATTTGCCTGCTGGATAAATTAACGCGCAGCAAGCCTTTCCTGGATAACAGGCTATCGCATTGCACGGAAACCGCAGCCAGGCCCGCGCGCGTGCAGGAGGGTGCAACCCCCGTGCACAGGCCACCGGTGCAAGCCACTCCGTTAGGCGCCCAGCAAGAGCACGGCAGCACCGCTTTGCCCTCCTCGGCTGCTGGCTGAAGTGGTGCGGTGCCTGGGGCTAGCGCACGTGCTGCGCTGTGGTTGCAGCCAGCTCCCCGAGCAAGGGCAGGGCGGCTCAGCCTGCTCCCCGCCTGCCCTCCCCGCGGGGCACTGCACTGGAGACCCTTGTTACCGCCTGGGAAACTTGCCTCCGGCTGCAAAGCAGCAGGCTGCCGAGCCCTGAGGAAGGCTGCAGCTTGCTAGAGCCCACGAGAGGTGCGAACCCCTCAGCAGCTTTCAACACCCGCTTTGCACCAACTCGGAGGACCAGAGAGGCCGTGCGAGGCGTGGGACCCGCAGCGCCTGTGCTCTCTGCGAGGCCCTCCCGCCTCCGCTCCTGGCTAGGGGCAGGGGACCCGTCACGGGGGAGTTGGGCCTGACAGACCGAAATACCTGAGGCTTGCAATGAGGGCAGGGGGCTGTGTGTTCCTGGGGGTGCTGGCTGTGTGCGCACACACCCCACGGCTTGCTTGGCCACCGGCTTGTTCGGTCACCGAACGCTGCCGCGGCGGGTGAGGAGCAGAGGGAGGGTGTTTCTGCAGGGGGTTAGCGCTTCCCCACTTTGCCTGGTGCTGGGGCATGACGGGGCCTGGGGCTGAGCGCGGAGAAGAGCCCCTGCCCAGCGCTGGCGCAGCTGTGGGGCAAGGCAAGCGCATGCAGCACCTCTCCGCACTGCGACGCTGCATCCTCACCGCAGGCTTCTGCCGAAACCCACGTGTCTGGGCTTGAAGCGGTTCTTCGAGCAGCACCGGGGTCCCTGCCCTGGCGCTGGTGTCACACGGCAGCCCCCGGCAAGCCATCGTTTCGTGGCTGGACCGCAGCACGTGTGCGACAGCTCGCCCTGCCACGTGTGCATGACTGCAGGATGCAGACTGCATGCGTGTGCTGAGCAATAGCGGGACCTGCTTGCCTGGCTCTTAACGCCGGCCCAGGATGCAGGCCCAGGCCAGGGCTCTGCTGGCTCGAGTCTTCCCTGGTGTTGGGAGAGCCCTTGAAGCCCATCGGAGGCTGCGTCCCCTTGGACAAGGGGTATTGCTTTAAGAACAATTACTGGAGAAAAACAGTCCAATGTGATGATGATGCCTCTTGCCACCTGCATCCCCTTTTCCAAGTCCTAGATCCGCCCGTGTCGGGGGAAAAGGGTTCCCGGGTCCTGCAGTCCAGCTCACCCACGGCTTTGACACAAGAAACCAGCACGCCCGCCCCAGCACACCCTGCCTGCAGCGTCCTCGCCGTGCTCTGCTAGAGCCCAGCCCACGGCACGAGGGACCCCCCGGCTGCCTGCCAAAAGCAGGTCTCCCCTCACTCCCAGTGATACAGCGGGTCCCATGCGAGACGTCACAGAAACCCTTGGCCTCTTGCAGGGCAGGCAGCTGTGTTGCCCAAAGCCGTGCTCCTGCTGCCCACGGTCACGGTCTCTGCAGAAAGGTGATGACGGCTGCATGCTTTCACCGCTCTTCGGATGGCAGCAGCACCCGGGAAACGCACGGCTGCAAGGCTGACACCTGCCCCAGGCCTTGCCCTGAGAGTGAAGCCTGTAACGGTGCCTGGTTGTCCTGGCTAGGGGGGCGTCTGTCCTACCGACCTGGACATGAGGAGCGGCATCTACCCCAGGCAGGTGGGGGTGAGGCCAGAGAGCCGGGCAGAGCACAGCTGGGGCGAGGGTGCCAGGCACCGGCTCTCTCGGGAGGGAAGCAGCGGAGAGGCCTTGCAAGTGCTACTGATCTGAAGCACGCTGGACACAAGCTGCTGCGGACGGCGGCCAACAGCTGCCACTGCTCCACACTGCAAATTCATCCCATCAAGCCCCGGGAGTTGCACCTGGGCCCTCGCCCTTTTCCAATCTACCCAGGCGGCTCGGCGGGGCTGCCTTCCCATGGAAATCGCCCTCTCTCGCACTCGCCTCTGAGAGCCACTTGCCAAAAATAGCTCCCGATCTCTGTATGTGACCTGCCGCCCTCGCTCCTGGGCACGCAGACGTGCCCCCAGCCCACGGGACCGGCCGGCCTGCCCCGGTGCAGGGGCCGGGCGGCACGAGCGCGGCCGTGCAAAATTCCCCATTCAGTTCCTGAGCCAACGGTGGAGAAATTTGGAACCAAAAGGCTAAAATTTCTGCATGGGAATTAGGCTGGTCGGAGGCAGCTGAGCAGAACAGATTAAAGTGACAGGAGGGAGCTGATGGATTTTGTGAGCCGGGGTGTCGGAGGCGCTTGCGGGCAGCCGTGGAGAGGATTGAGCGCTGCACAGGGCTGCGCAGGCCACCCCGAGTGCTAATCCTCCTCCGCGGGGAGCAGGGACGTGAGCTGCCCTGTGAATACGAGCCCCAGCAGACGGCGAGATCCCACCCGCCAGCCCCCGTGACCGCGAGTGGGTCTCGCGGTGCCGGCGCCCCGGAGCTGCGTGCCCGCTGCACTGCTGGTGCTGGGAGCCAGAGGGGCTGGTAAATGAGTTAAACCCTGGTATCGAAGATCAGGTTAGCAAGGATTTCAGAGGAGTATCACTCTATTTTCTTGTTATCAAATCTCCCTTCAGATCAGCAGTTATGCTCCAAATGCACTCAGCTGCAGGGGCTTAATTGCGTTCCATAGTTATCGATTTTTTTGGAGTGCTGATTTAGTTTTATTGAATGATAACTGAAAGAAACACCCGTTTACAAACAGCGGAGCGACAGCACTGGCTGTGGTCCCCCTCCAAATGCCGATGTCCCTCCACTCTGAGACGAGCCGGCTTGATGGTGAATATTACGCTCCGTAATCCAGGGTTATTCCAAGAGGCTTATGCCCCACGAGTACGGGATCCAGGTCTCTCCTGTGACCTGAAAGCAATTCTGAGCCAGCACAGACCTCTTTAACATGCATCCTGAAGAAATCCTGCAGCAAGGCGGCTCAGCCAGTTCTCTGAAGTGACAAGTCTCGTCTCACTCCCGGTTCCCAGTCACTTCTCGCACAAAAGAGGATGCTCATGAATAAGCAGCAACGTGCCAGCGAGCAGCTAATGTTTACTGCACCCTCCTCCAGCTCCACAGCTCTCAGTGTAGGCAACCGCTTGCTCTGGCTAGTGACATCGCTGAGCCTCTCTGCCCGAAACCTCGAATGCAGCTTCATGCTACAGGACGTCGGGATGATATTAGGTCTTCCAAAGTAACCCCAGGCAGGGAGGCAGCCGAAGCCAGGAGGATCTGGTGGTGATGGGACAGAGAAGGGAGCATCCCAGGGTGAAACAGGCTCGGACCCAGGTCCAGAGGAGCAAGTGACACCCGGGGAGGATGGGAGGTACCTGGGAGCCAGCACCCGCCAGTGGTTCCCTAAAGCCGCCACTTCCCTGATGCTAATGGGGAAAAGGAGACGCCGCGGTGACCTTCCACAGCACAGCAGCCACCGGCTCGCCAAGGGGACACCCAAAGCCTCTCGCTGCAACGCAGGTCCCACGCGGGCGGTCCTCCATCCGGGTGTTGCGCGCCAGGCTGCGCTCGAGCTGCCCGTGTTATTTAGTGGCGTGTGCGCTCGTGTCCAGCGCCCCACGCAGACCGAGACAGCCACGTCCGGAAAAGAGAGGGGCTCAGGGAGGGTTTGGGGGAGGCAGGTGACAGAGCTAATAGGTCCTGGGCCCGGTGGGGAACAAGGGGCAGCGTCTGACCACCCCTGGACTGGTTCCCCAGGCACGCTGCCGCACATGGCTATTGACTCGCTCACGCCACAAGTCCACGCGTTCCCTTGCTGCAAAGCAGCCGTTTTATTGCCTCAACGCCAGGCCTCTCCATCACGGAGATGCACGAGGCGGCATCCGCGCGTGCTGCTGGTCACATGCAGGAGGCAGTACTGTGTCCTGCGGGGAAGGGGGCCGGACCCCCAGCAGGCAGTGCCCACCCCACCCCACCCCACCCCACGCCAGACCCAGCCTGCACCAGGGCAGCGGAGCTGCTCACCTGCACAGTGCTCGCTGCCTGCCACGCTCCCTGCTCTAATTGCTCACACTCACACCGAACACTAACGAAGTCCTGCACAAGGGGCGGGGGGAGCATCCCCAGGGAGGCCTTGTCCTGGCACTGCCGGTGTCTTTGTGGCATCAATTTTCCCATCTGTAAAACTGGGACCAGGGCATCTGCGACCCTCAGCTCAGAGCCCGGTGGAGGAGGGCTCGTTTGCAGTGATACCTGGATGCTCTGCGCTGTCAAGAGGGAACTTTTATCCTCAGGCCTGGGCTGGGATCCAGGCCCTGCCTGGTGCTTCTCTCAAGCTATCAAATATGTATGATTTGGTTGCTGGTTCGGGCTTTTGATATTCCTCCACCTTCAGCTTCTCTCTCCCTGTCAGGGATGCCGAGACAGCCCCTGCCCCGCCTGCGTCCCCCAGGACCACGGCCCTTCTGCTCCGGCGAGGAGGGAGCCGGCGGTAACTTCTCTCCTGCAGGAACGCCGAGCTCCTCTTCTCCGCGGACGCGCGCGTCCCTTCTCGGCTGGTCCCCTGCTTCTCCTCCAGTCTGCACGAGGACCAGTCCCAGCCCTGCACTGGGAAGCCGTGCTCACATCATTGTTCTCAGCTGCGGGCTTCAAACGAGCTCTTAATTTTCAAAGGATACATTTTATAAAATTGTGAATTTGCATGTTACCAAAACCCTCTTGTGTTTTATTTAAATCCAGATTATCCTGTTTATTCCTTCAGTCACAGCTGTCATTCATCTCTGTGTAGGCAGCTCGTTCATTATGTTGAAGGTTTCCTGCAATCCCACTCAAAAGCAGCCTTTGTTAACTATATTTTTATGCCTCCACCGAAAAAGAGAAAGTTTCTTCCGACTCCCACGGCTCGGTCACGGGGAGCAACGCAGATGGGGCCACGCGCCCCGGCTGCGCCACCAGCCCCACCGGCCTCTGCCGGGAAGGGAGCCGGTCGTGATCCGTGTTTCAGACGTAGTACAAGCACCGGCTTTTGTCCTGCGACGAGACAAACATGGAGTCACTTTCCTATTTTATTATCAACACGCTCGGGCATAATTGCTTGGTCTCTCAACTGTGACCTGCCAGGCACAGGGCTTTCAAAAGGAGCGCGGCACTGCCACTGAAGATTGCAATATGCATTGAAACCAAAATCTATTTGCTGTAAGCCCCCAAGTCAAATCTCTTGTTGAATTTGTTCAAACATAAATTTATAGCTGAATTTACATAGATTTAATGTTTTATAATCTTTCCTGGTCTGTGAATCTATATTCAAGGCAGAGTGCATTAGCTTAGAAATGTTGTGCTTAATACTGAAAATAATTTTAATCTCTCCAAAGTCCAATCCTTTGCACATCACTAAACCACAGAAGCCAACCCATTGTAAACAGAGGCACAAAACCTGCCGCTGCCTATTAGAGGTGCACGGCTCGGATTCAGATGGCGCACACATATGCTTCGGGAAAACATTAAGCGCAAATCATAAAGGACTTTGGGAAAGCCATTTTGGTTACTCATCTGCTTCCCTTTGGAGGGGAGGGCGCAGGCTGGGATTAGGATTGAGGCAAGACGAATGGCCCTTTGGGAGGCTGTTTCAGACGCCTGGGGCCGGAGCCACCTTTCAGCCGGCCGCTGGGGGTGGAGGGCATCGCCTGGCCCTGCCATTAGCTGCCCTCCGCGGCACCACCTCTCCCGCTCCTGCCCCAAGGGCCGAGAGGTCCTTGCTGCCCCTTCCCAGGCCTGGCCGACCTGGCGCCGCTTGGCTTGGGCTGTGCCCTGCAAGGCTGCGCTCGCGCTGGCTCGCCCGGGGATTGGGCCCGGCCCATGCACACGCGTGGCACCGGCAGCCTGGGCCTGGGGAGGGCTCCC